TACATCCTAGAGTAAGGCATGATGCTTAACTTCATTTGCTGTTATTTATCATTTCTGCCAAAAGTGGGTTATGCATTTCCCTACATTCTTAAACAGAATTTACTGGCTACCATTTAATCTCTTTTAATAAATCACAGTCCTCCTTTTGATGTACAAGCCGTACAATCATGGAGAAATGTCTGCAGGGTTCTTCAATGTGCAGAGTTGCCTGCCCTGCCATAGAATGGCTTCAGGCTGCTATGCTTTTTCACTTCTCATATATTTTTTTAAATAGTTTATCTCTCTCCTCCCTTGTTGTCGAGCTGTCAGTCAGCTGTCACTTTTTACTGCTGTCAGTGAGCCTGCCTTTATCGCACCCCCAATTTGATGCTGCTAATCTGCTGTCAGCTGAGAAATCAGATAATCAAGACCTCTGAAATTGCATTCACAATAAGTGGTGGGCCAAGCATGGGATGGAGATTGTGAGATATGAGTTCCAGTTCTTGCTCTGTCCCTATCTGGCTGTGTGGCTACCAGGAGACACTTAACTTCTCTGAACCTTGGTGCTTCCATCCAGAAGGAGCAGGATCCGTGTGTGTGTGTGTGTGTGTGTGTGTGTGTGAGAGAGAGAGAGAGAGACAGACAGACAGACAGACAGAGACAAAGAGGAAAGGAGAGAGATCTCAACCAGATTTGGAGCCTAACTTTCTCTGGCTGTCAGAAAGAACATAGGAAACTTTTTTGTGAGTTAACAGAAGGCAGGATAGGGGTACCACTGACCTTTTAACTGTCAAATTCAAGGATATGTTTTAGTCATAACTTTATTTAACCTTAGTCCTCTGAATTCAGTACTGACCATCTCCTTAAAGTCTTCTTCCCTTTGCTCCAGAGGATAATTCTTTCAATGTTGACCTTCTCTTTTTTCTCCTCTCTTCAATCCTGGGCTGTTCTTCCACCAGCCCCTTAAGTGTTAAGAGTGCCAATAGCCAGTCTGAAGTTCAAAGCCAGGGTAATGATGAGAAACCAGCAAGAAGCCTGAGAAGTAGCAACCTGTGTGTCCTAGCAGTCAACTGAAGAATGTGTCATAGTGTATCAAACACTGCTGCTATGTCAAGTAAGATGAGCGCTGAGAATTGACCACAGGATTTAGAGAGACATGGAAGTCATTGGTAACCTCGACAAAAGCAATTTCAGTGGAGTAGCTATAAGAGAGAACAGTAGGAATAAAATTAGAAGCAAGTATAAACAACTCTTTCAGGAGGTTTCACTACTAACAGAAAGAAAGAAAACAGGCAGTTTCTGAAGGGAGAAGTGGAATCAAGAAAGGATTTTTTTTTTTAAGATGTAAAACTAATAACACTTCTCTTATGCTAACAGTAATGATCCAGAAGACAGGAGAACTGATGATGCAGAACAAAGGACACATTGCTAGGATAGTAGTCTTATGTATGCAAGAAGGATGAGCTCTGGCAAAAGTGGGGGCAAAACCCTTACACAGAAGCAACGTCAGTTCGTCCTTATTAACAGGTGTGAATTAAGACACCTGGGTGGCTCAGTTGGCTAAGCGTCCAACGTCAGCTTTGGTCATGATCTCACAGTTTGTGAGTTCAAGCCCCACATCGGGCTCTGTGCTGACGGCTCGGAGCCTGGAGTCTGCTTCGGATTCTGTGTCTCCCTCTTATTCTGCCCCTCCCTTACTCATGCACTGGCTCTCTCTCTCAAAAATAAATGACCATTAAAAAAACTAAAACACACACACACACACACACACACACACACACACACAAAACAGGTGCGAAGAAGGAGAATATGCACCCAGGAACACATGGATGGGCAGACGCAGTGGTGGCAGCATATATAAATTCTCTGACGATTGTTTCTATTTTCTCAGTCATGTTCTGAGAATGAGGATAGGATATTTGGAATCAGCAGTTTACAAAGAAAGAAAAATGCATGATTAGTTATCTATAGGATGAGAAATGTGGTCTGTTTGCCAGGCAGCTCTCAGGGACCATATGAACTGAGAGTAGACTAATAAGTATGTTCTTGGATGTTCTTCTAATCAAATTAAGGGAAAAGTACAAACAAATTGAGAGTATCTGCAAGACAGCAGGTATGATGACCAAATATGGAGGTTAAGCTCAAGGAAGAAGGAGGAAAATTGGCACAAGAAGAGCATCTCAAAGTAAGGAACTGGCCCCATCAATGGATGGTAGGGTCTTAGGAGGCCCAAAGACTGAGTCAGGATGATAAAGAGAATAATAAATGAATCTCTCTATTTATATTAGACTGCTCCTTTGGCAGAATTTTTCTCTGTTTTCATATGCTAATTAAGAGAGGGCAGAGAGGAAGTCAGTCCTTTATATTCAGGTGGCAATAAATGTGCTATGTTACATAACAATGGGAGTGGGTTAATTAATAAGATGAATTAGTCTTTACTAGGGGGGCTATTACATACCAGGCACTATGCTAGGCATTTCACGTATGCATTATTTCCTTTAGTCACTACACAATGCCTATGAGGTGATGATGTAAATGTAATAGTCATAATCATTAAAGAACCTAGGCTCAGGGTCATTATACTTGCATAGGTTGCAGAGCTAGCAAGGGGCAGTCAAGACCCAAACACAATGTATGTATGTATGTCTACAGTGTTTAAGAGCTTTCCCATCCCCAGATGCTTAACACATATAACGATAGTTTCAAGAGATATTCTTTCTTGCTACTATTTTTCTGGTCTTTGAGAACGAGGCAGTGAGGGGCGAGCAGGGCAATAGGTAAGAGTTGTTGCCACAAAGCCAATCCTTGTGAAGTCCTATGTGACTGATGTGCTCTGAACTATAACTGTTATCAACTTTATAAATCCTCATATTTTTTGCTGAAATATGGCTCTTCCCTTTCTCTGATGAATATCCATTAGAGTATACACTATCATAGCACATTGTATTAATAATTTAATTGTATCTTCCACTTTGTTTTTACTTAAATTTATTTTTGCCATGACCAAAAAATATTTGTATAGGGACAGAGATAAGAGCATTCAAAAGTTTTTTCTTCTTCCATCATCTTGGTTATGTTGCCTTTGGAATTACTAAATATTTTTCAACATCTCAACAAAATAATACTCTTTTAAGACTGCAGGCATTAGAATGATTGTCATTCATGCAAATAATCACTTACTTACACTATATGAGTTTGGGGTGGATAAAGCAAATTACCATTTGAAAATAATTCAAATAACACTCTGGGCTAAGACCTTGCTTATGAATGTTATCTTGGCCACAATATTTCTTAACTTTCTTCCATTTAGCTAGATTTATTTATGGTAATATAGTCCAAATTAATAAACTATTCAATTGCCACAGGTGTATTAAGTATATGATGTTGTAGGAATATATCAGATGCAAATGAATTTTAAAATACATTATTTATTTGGAATTCTATAGTGGTAATAATTAAGATGTAGTATAATTATGTACTCACTTAAAGATGTACATTTTGAGTATATATTATATGAAAAACTTAAAAATGTATCAAAAAATAAGGTTCATATTTTAAAAATGTGGACTAAAACATAAACTGTGTTTTAGCTCATCATAGATCTTAAAGTGTAACAATTACATTTTCCAAAAGTTGAAATTCTCTCATCCCACATATTATATATATAAATATACAAATACAACAACTATATATGCATATACATATTTATACATACACATGTGTAACTGAAAATCGAATTTGATCTTAGTGTCACTTAGCCTGATAGTTGTCAAAACTGCACATAAATGATTAAATGTTTTTGACATATGACCTTTGCTGATAGGAAGTATGACCAGTAAACATAAAACTGGATCAAAAGTCATAGGGTCTAAACTTTAATCCAGTGTGTGACAATAATCAGCAGTGTGAGTGCAAGCCAGTCTCCTGCTTCCCTGGGCCTCTGTTTTCTGAACTCCATAAAGTAAAAATTGGGCAAGGTTGTAGAACTTAAATTTTATGACTCACTAACTTGACTTGGTATTAGGCAGATTCTTCTTCAATGAAATATTAACTAGTAAAATCCTGAAATAAATCAGCATTCAGAGTGCTGATGAGGACTACTGATCCCACAGCAAAATCTAAATCTAGAATACAGAAAATAATGCTGACCTCCTGCATAATGTGCAGACATTAAATTGTTTCCTGATTTCATTTCAGGGATGGGGAACAAACAGCTGTCCCTGAACTCTTTTTTAAGGACATCGTCAGTTACAAACAGCAGCATCCCCAGCTAGGATGAGTCCCACTGAAGTAAACTTTCTGTTCACACGGGAGAAATATTCCTAGTGGTAATAAAAACCGTTTTGCTAGGTTTAATCAGAAGTGAAAAGGAATTTGAGAATGTTCCCTTTGAGCCACATCATCCACTGCTAATTCAGGGTGGGCCTAGCAACAGGGGTAACAAAAAATGTCCTTAGTAACAGAGAAAGAGAAATGGCAATTAAGTGTATTTGCAACCTAATATAGAAGACCTAACTCTTTATTAAGATAATATAAATAATAAAAAAAAATGGAAAAAGGAAAAAAATAGAAGGAAATAGCATGGGAAATGAAAGTAACCCAAGCAGTGCAATTTAACACTGATTTACTCAGAACAGTTTGCTATATACATATAAGCCCATGGGCATAAGCTGAATGCAAAGGCTGAGAAACATGCTTAACAATGAATGACTTCTGCAACAAAACAACAAATAAAGAAACAAAACAGTAAGTGTTAAAAAGCCAAAGCAGCTTGCTTTGGGACAGCAATAAATAACAGAAAAGAAAGGACGAACTCAATATCAGAACTAACCATTCAGTGATAGGTCGGACACATGATTATTTAAAATGTTTGTAAATCACAGCATGGTGAAATAGAATTCGATTCTCCAATTAACCATGCTTATGCTGAAAAGTTAAAATTGGCAAGAACACCACCAATTTCTATACATTTGGTGAATAAAGTATGATACAATATTGAAAACAGAGTCAAACATACTGACCTGCTCACATCAGGAAACCTGATGGGAAAGTAAATAACTTGGCACTTGGGTCTGATGATGCTTTCCAGATCCTTGGGTCTGTGATCAGGAATCAGCTTCATAAATTTTCCAATAGAGGTGAGAAATGACTCCATGTTAAAAACCGAGTTGAATACCACCACATCAGCCACCAGGCTGTAAAGGGAAAGGATAAATGCAAATGATGAACCCACACTTACTCACAGCTATTTTTCATAAGCCTAAGTCCTCTGTGTTAATCAGAGTTTATACTGTCCTTGGGCTTGCAAAGAACTCAGCACTTCCCACAGTATTTACTAAAATGCCTCTAATAGAGAATTAGTTTCATTAGCATTGTATCGTGGTAAGTTTGATTTCTGGCATCAGCAAAGAAAGGCAGGAGAGGAATCAAATAATTTATTGGGATCTTATGAGGCTCCAAACAAAGTTTATTTTTCTGCAATGCCAGGACTTTCTATAACATCAACAGTCAATACAGCAGGACCTTTTCCGTTGTGGCCCAAATACCCACGTTGGGTTTCTATGTCAGTGATATACGTCGTTTTACACCATACTACACTGAAGAGAACATCTGCCAATCCCTTTCACTACCTTCAAGGAGAGGAGTTCAGATAAAGCTACTTCCCACAACAGCATACCTTCAAACACGTGGTTAAAGTCTATTTCGTGTTTAGTCCTTGCTTCAAAAAACCATTAGGTTTTTTAAAGCTCTGGAACTGTACAGGAAGAATTATATGGGATATCTCTACAAACAACTTATTTCACTATTATAGTATATTTGGGGTGGCCAAAGAAGAAGGACCACAATACCATGGACCTTCATAAGTAAATGAAATAAATATAATTTTAGCTATTACTTTTGATGGATATATTGCATTCCTCCCTTTAATATTTTTTATTTTTTTTTTAATTTTTTTTTTCAATGTTTATTTATTTTTGGGACAGAGAGAGACAGAGCATGAACGGGGGAGGGGCAGAGAGAGAGGGAGACACAGAATCGGAAACAGGCTCCAGGCTCTGAGCCATCAGCCCAGAGCCCGACGCGGGGCTCGAACTCACGGACCGCGAGATCGTGACCTGGCTGAAGTCGGACGCTCAACCGACTGCGCCACCCAAGCGCCCCCCTTTAATATTTTTTAAATAAAAATAATCTAAAATACATTATTATAAGGAAATGTGAAAACAAATTTTAGGTGTCATAACTATGTCAGTAGTGTTCAAAACAGCCCATAACATTTTATTGAAAACCAATGAACACGAATGATAACCATGGGCAAGCTGGATAAAACCTGAATATGGAGTATGTTCCCTTTATGAGTCAAAAAACTGATTTAATAAATAATTGTTTTGATTTAAGCAAATATTTTTGCCTTAGGCAATGATTTAGGGTCTCGGTGTCATGGGATCTCAGCAAAATGCATACAAACGTTTTAGTGAGAAGCTATATAAGTTCAAACAACAGTTAATTTTATTTCACCCTAAAAATGACAGATCAAGAAAACTAAAAAGTCCGCAAGATGGCAAAACACAAATGAATAAGCAGAGCTTACAGAATAGGAATACCAAAGCAAATCCTTCGTTTACTGAGGACAGCCAAAGTTCTATTATTAATACACAGCGGAACAAAAAACCTACAAAAGGCATGTTGAACTGCCACCTTTATGCCTCCCCTGCAAAACTGCTTTTCCATACAAGTTTTTTTTTTTTTTTTTT